AAACTGAGGCACAGAAAGACGAAGTAATTTGGAAGATAGTTTGCAAATGAGCAGCAGAGCTAGGATTTGAACCCAGGGAGTCTGGCTGCAGGGCTGGTGTTGCCAACTACCACCAAGGTATGTATATTTTATTGGGAAGAGGCACAGGGAGAAGAGGCACTATGCAGGGGCCAGAAATAGAAGGGTATCCTAGTAGGTTCAGCTTTGGCTTAGTGTGATGCCATCCCAGTCACACACCCGGAACCTAAGCCCAAATGGGCTTATCTAGACAAATACCCAGAGATAAGAAAGTCACGGTTTTGTACCTACTCTGTGTCCCCATCATTTTCTGTTCTCTTGGGGCCATCCAGGTTCCAGCCTGGTTGTAGAAAGTGTGGATCTAAGGCAGTACTGGAGCCATTTCTGGCCCATGGATCTCCAGAGTGGCTGGTGAGTGCCTGGGTGCTGAATGAGACAACACTTATGGGGGCCTGGCCTATGGTCCCAAGGATCCCCAGCAAACTGGACTTTGGGGCCTTGAAACCCCAGTCCAATATGGAAATGTCTCAAGACTCTTTACCTGGTCCTGTGCCTTCACTGACCCCGAGGGAAGAGACTTCATTCTGCTTTAGATAGTAGAGCACAGTCTGGGAGGTCAGCCATTGTTTCTGGGTTTGAACCTGCCTGTGCTGAGTTGGGAAAGTTAACGTCTTGTGTCTCTATTTCTCCGTCTGCCAAAGGGAAAAATAACAGAATCGACCTCACGAGGTTGTTTTAAGGATTAAATTAATGAATCCACATCCGCCACATAAATCACACCAAGCTCTCAATAAATGTGGGTGACAGCAGTGATCTACATCTTGCCTCCATTTAAGAAGTAATTCTAACCGTGTCCAGACCCACAATGTGCATTATCGCATCCAAGTAGGGAGCGGCCTCAAGAACAAAGCCTGTGACCTTGCCAGGCCCTGCAGCCATGTGCTTAGGCCTCTCTCCGAGAGGAAATGGTTTCATCACCCAGCTGTCTAGGTCATGGCCACTTTCTTCTGGGAAGGGCTCTCTGTGGCCCTGCCTGATCAACATGCTTGGTTACACCCAGCACCCAGCCTGGCTCTGCCAGCCCCCAGCGTGCGAAGGAGCACAGAAAGGCACGCACCCGCCTTGTGGGCAGAATGCTCATTCATGACAGGCTGTGGACGTCACTACACCAAGCCTTGCTCTTGCCCCGGAGCAGGCGAGGAGCCCATGGAAGCTAGTGCACTTCTGTTGACCTGGCTAGATGACCATGACTGTCACCTTCAGCTAGGAAATCCCTGCATTCAAGGAAAGTGTACTCCGGGTCCAGGGCAAGGATGACTTTTAGACTAGTAGAAAGACCCTTTTCAAAGTTGACTTGGGAATCTCAGAAGGGAAGGATGGAATGACAGGACGGGGACTAGGGGGCTGTGTCTGTGTCTGTTCTCTACTGCATCTAGCCCCTGGCACTGCACGTTCTCCAGGAATGGCACTACCACTCTGGTTAAGTGCGTGGGTTCTGGAGCCAGCACACCTTCTGCCACATCCTGGCACTATTGCTTCTGACCTGGGTGACCCCTTTTGTAATCTCCTTAACCTCTCTGCCTCCATTTCTCATCTGTAAGAGGGGATGACAATAACAATACGTACCTGCTCACCTTTTTAGGTTGTCTTGAGGCTTCAGCGAATTTTTATAAAAATGCTTAGAACAGCATTTTTATAAAAATGCTTAGAAAAATGCCTGGTATGTAGTAGTGTAATTGTTAGCTATTATTTTCCATATGCTAGAGATTTTAGTTCTGGACAGAGGCTCATATAAATAAGGGGGCAAATCCAGAGTTCTGGACTAATTCTATTTGACATTAAAGTCTGTCCTCTTTGAATGCTACCACCTTGATGGAAAAGAATCCCTACTTTGTATACTTTAGGAAAGCTCAAATTTCAGATTTGAGGATACCAGACCCCCAAAGTAGAGCACAATTGTTGGATCTCAGATTTTTGTTTTAGAAGCAGGAATTACGGTGGCTATGGATAGCAAGAACTCAGGATAATCCAGCCCAAATGGACTAGACCAACCATCCCCTGATCCTGGATCTCAGGGTGACAGGAGTCTAGTAAGCCTGCCCTTTGACCTGAAATTGGGTGATGTTAGTTATACAGGAATAGGTGAAATGCCAGCCACACCTGGCTGGCCCATAAAAAGGAAATGCTTCCCACACCTTGCTTTTGCACACCAAGGGCCCCCAGGTAAAGGCATCTGGGCACAAGCTGCCTGCTTTAATGCCTGGGTGTGGCTGCAGGAACCACCCAGCACAAACCGGAGTGAACCTGCTGCCCTTTCCCTTCCTCACTGCCAAGTCAAACAGAACTCAGGGAACACAAATAGAATCATCACAATAAACCGGTTGTTGGAGCCAGACGCAGGCTAACCCACTCCCTGGCACTGCCACCCTGTTCGCAGGTCCAGACATGAGGAGGTGCTCTGAGGGCTGAGGAAGGTGTGGCCCGTGGGCATTCCTGCCCAGCAAGAAACCCTCCAGCTTGTCTGTACTCATTGCCACCCACGTGGACTTCTCTAGGAGCTGCTTGCCAAAGCAGAGAGGGAGGAGGGTCTTCCCTTCCTCCAAGCCCTGGATCACCGGGAAATGCCCTTCCCACCCACTCGACTTGACTAATGCTGCTGCTTGTCAAAGAGGGAACTCTTCAGACAGATACAAATCCTAAAGGCATCTGAGGTTTGAAGGAATTCGTGCTGGACGTGCTTCCCTGCAGGGTCAGGCATGGGGGGAGGAGGGAGGAGAAGGAGGAGGGGCTGGTCCTAAGCGACAGCTTTAGATAAACCTGGGCAGAGCTCTCCAGTAGCAAGTGAACTCAGGTAGTGCCCTCCCTAGCCCAGAGCACATCAGAGTCTCCCAGCACCCGCCCAGACCTTTCTGCTGCGTGTGCTCTGGGGCATGTCTCTCTTTGCCTCCTTGGATCTTGGGCCGATGAGGACGTTCTTACTTTGTGGTGTCAGCACCTTTTCATGAAGTTCTGGTAGATCTTACAAAAGATCTTCAATCTCCCCTCCATCTTTTCTTTTTAATAAGTTTGGAAAAGGGGGCTAGCGTCTCCCTGTGGAAAGGAAAGCTCCTGGAGTGATCCAGCTGGAGGTTTTCTGTGCATTCCACCATATTGTGGAGATGGAGGAAGAACAAAAGGTCTGAAAATGAACACTCGGGTTGGTTGGAAGCCTAGCTTCATATGACAATCTTGGGAAGTTATTTAATTACTTGAACCTCAATGTCTTCAGTAGTCCAATGGACACACAAAGACTTAGTTCTCATGGATGTCAAGAGGATAAAATGAGATAACGTGTACGAGTACACAGTCTTGGTACATCAAAAGTACTAGATAAATCTTGCCTTCATTTTTTCCTTCCCCCACACTCTCTGTCAGTGACTTGCTGAGTCCTTGATTGGCCTGAAGAATTAGAAGAGAGACCTCAAGAGAGATAGAATCATAGAGTAAACAAAACTGTCTTATTCTAACTTAACTCTGAGTTTAAAGCAAGGAAGATAAGAAGGGCTGCTATACCATTTCTTTTCCAAATGATAAATGGGTTATTTCTGTGCCTGAGGGTAAAGCACATCAATGCTTTCCCATCTGAAACAAAACATAAACCACTTCATTTCCATGCCCCAAACTGATTCAATCTAATCTACTCACAAGTCAGGCTTTCCCATTAACCTGAATTTGAAGTTTCTCTCTTCCCTCCGCCTTAGGCTTTAGGTGGAGTTTTGGAGAGGGAGGTAGCAACCGATACTCTCAAAGGGGTTTAGCTTAACCATTAGTTGACAGAAAAAAAAAGTAGAAATTATCATTGCTTCCTTGAAAATGTCAGAATTTGTAAATTGCTGCCTCACCCATAGTCCTATTTAATAGGCAGAATCTGCATTATGGTTGGATATGTGGCATGAATCTCAACTATTATCTGGGGCTTAAAAAACATATTTTTAAGAAACAAGGGGTCTTGCTATGTTGCCCAGCTATCTTCTAATTTCTGGGTTCAAGCAATCTTCCTGCCTCAGCCTCCCCAGTAGCTGGGACTATAGGTGCATACCACAATGCCCAGCTGGGGGATTTTTAAAAAAATGTTGATTATGGCTTTATTACATGCATTGTGCCCTTTCTCCTCTGTTTGGAACTGGATAGCAGTTCCAAAATCCTACTGTCTTCTACTAAGTAAGGAGCAGACATGAAAAACATGGTGGGGATGAGTAGATGGGGCCAGAGTTTGGGGAGTGAAGGTCAACTGGGTAGAAACCTGGGGAGTGACAACAGAGTGGGAAGGGAGGCAAGGGAGAAGGGTTTAGAGAAGGATGTCAGGGAAGTGAGTAATAGGTAGGTCAGAGGATGGAGCAAGGGAATGTTGAATAGACCAGATATGTTCTGTGGGCAGGTGGTAAAATATGTGAATGGGAGCTCAGGGAGGGCTCTTACGGAGTAACAGGGAAGGAACCCTGAGGTGCTGATTTATCAGAGATAGAAAATGGGACTGAATATATGTTGAAGGAGAAATGGAAGGATCCTAGACCAACCCTGAAATGCCATTCATTTTCACGAAATCCTTCTTTATGCTTCCACCATATAAGACAGACTCTAGGCTGGGCGTGGTGGCTCATGCCTGTAATACTCTGGGAGACCAAGGCAGAATGATTGCTTGAGGTCAGGAGTTCGAGACCAACCTGAGCAAGAGCAAGATCCCCCCATCTCTACTAAAAAAAAAAAAAAAGAAATTAGCTGGACAACTAAAAATCTGTATTTATATCTATACATATAAATTAGCCGGGCATGGTGGCACATGCCTGTAGTCGGAGCTACTCGGGAGGCTGAGGCAGGAGGATTGCTTGAGCCCAGGAGTTTGAGGTTGCTGTGAGTTAGGCTGACGCCACGGCACTCTAGCCCAGGCAACAAAGTGAGACTCTGTCTCAAAAAAAAAAAAAAAAAAACTCTACGTGCTCATCCTAACAGATTATTTTTGATTCTAGCAAATAAATACCTCCTCTGCTTTCCCCCTAAAACAAGTGACACGAATTTACATTCAGCCAGGCTGTGAGATATTTGGAGAAAATTCAAATTCTGGACCCCTCAGCTGTGCCTTAACATTCCTATGTTACACTCTGTTCAGGGTGGTTGCCTTCACTCGGTCATCTCAACTCTTCACTCTGAATCTTGATCTGGTTTTGTTTACAATTTGTTGCTGCAATCTTCCTGTAACTGTTTCCAGAGTCGTGTGACAAGGAGGCTGGCTGACTGTGAGATTTCTCTCACACTCCGCTGCTTGTGTAGCCAAGATGGAATTAAGCAATGTTGAAATCAAAGCTTCAGTTTTTATTGGCCTAGATTTCTCAGGCCTTCCCATTTTTTAGTATCACAGTCCTCAGGGATTTCTAAGTGCCTTTGAGAGGAACTGTTCTCGAATGGGATTATTGGGCACCCGCCCTCAATTCTTCAACAAAGCCCTAAAGAATGGATGTCTCAAGTTCTGCCACTTTTAAAGTACAAATCCAGACTTTTTTCTGATTCTCCTTGATTCTGGGTTTTACTCCAACAGTGGGAAAGTTTTCTAAGCTGAGTTTTCTTCCTGTCTCCTGGGCAAGGCAGTTTGGTCAGTGGTTGCTCTGTGGGCTACTGTCTGGAGCAGAGGGCGGTTAGGGAGGTCACCCTGACACCTATGGCCAACGGAGGGTGGAGGGAGTGGTCTAGGTTTGGCCCGCAGTCTGGAGTCACAGGCAGCACAGAGAGATCTTGGCTCAGAACCTGAGGCTGAGGCGTGCTGGGACAGCCTAGGGGGTGTCCTGGCTTTCCAGGGGCTGGGGAACCCTCTCTGGCCCGGGGGCGGGAGACACTGTTCCAGAATCGGTTCTGGCTCCACTGCCGCCTCAGCACTTTCTAATTGCAGCTCCAAACAACAACAGCCACAGCTGCAGTCATAGCAACAGGCCCCGCCCACCGGGCTCCGCTCCCGGCATGCAGCACGTGACGGCGACGCCTGCGTCGCTCCCTCCACCCCTGGCGTTAAGGGAGGCGGGGTGTGGGGAGGGATGACGTTTACTCTGTCGTCTCCATGGATATAATGCATAGACGTCAACGTCGCCTGTGTTTAGTGTGTAACGTTCTTCCGTCTCCATGGGAACGTCAGGCGGCCAAACACAAGCCCCAGCAACAGGCTTCCGATTGGCCCGAGGCTCCTAAAGGCGGAGCCAGCCTGTGCTGGCTCTACTGTGTTGCTGTTTTGGTTGTTGTCTCCCACTTGTTTATTTCTCTAGCAGATCCTGGATGCTGAGGTCTAGATCGGTCGCCAAAGATAGGGTCCAGGAGAAAACGTGCCCGACAGCCTCTACGTACAGCTTGCTCCCACCCACTACAGCCCAACAGGTGACAATTCCACTGTGACCAAGGCCTTTGTGGGAGTAGTCCTCAAGCCCCGCGGCTGCCACAACCCAATATTTGTTGTTATAACCCCGCTCCCACACCGCATCACATCTCAGAAGTGCCATTACCCTCTCAGCCACATCCCAGAAACTGTCGCCTTCACGGTTAAGCCTGTTTGTGCTCTCCGGAGCAGTCGGAGGCCTTTGATAGCTAATGCCAAGATTCAGTGCTACCCCCGCCCCTCGCAGGGTTTGGTTGCATTTTTCCGTCTGGTCCTCATTCTGATGAATGACATCGTTTACTGGTATTCCCACCCAGAGATGTCCAGATTTCTTGTAGCTTGAGTAGATATCAAAGACTCCCAAAGGACCTGAGTGGGTACTTCTGTTTATGGGCTCATTTAATCTTATTCTTTTCTTTCTGTCCATTGTAATTCAAATCATGGGGGCCATTTGATTTCTCCAAAAGTAATGGAAATAAATTTAGTACCGAGACAAATAGAGTATTATATATCCAGAGCTCAGATTTCTTGATATGTAATACTAATATATTGATGGAGTTAAACATTCCAAGGCACAAATAATGTCTCCAGAAACAGTTTTAACCTTACCCTGGGCTCCCATCAGTGAAACCAAGTTAACTGTCTGGCAAGAGATAGTGATCTAGCCTCAGGGGTTTCAGTGAAATTGTGATTAAAAGAATGCCTTAAAATCTGTAGTTATGGTGTCAAATATAATAAATCTTTACCAGCTCATGCACATACAAGTCTGAAATGTTTCATAAAAGGTTTAGATAACCTGATAACATGTTTTCAAAACTGAGAGAGAGTGAGAGAGGGAAAGAGAGAGAGAGAGAGAGAGAGAGAGAGAGAGAGAGAGAGAGAGAAAGAGATATTTTGACACTGATGCAAACCTCTAGTTAAAAACAAGAAAGTAAAATTACTTGCATAGATTGGGGTTGATAGGGAGGGTATCTGTTCTCTGCTCTAATCTTAGCCCACTACCTCCTTTCCTTTTTGTCTTCTCTGGTGAATATCCTTGCTAACTGTCCTCCCCCCCCACCCCTTGGCCAGCCTCATAGCCTATAATTTCCTTTGGAGATGTGAGTGAAATTAAATGAAATTGGGAGCCTGCTTAATGCAGATAGGACCAAAGGGCACAGCTCTTTATCGTAATGAACTTCATTCTGATTAAGTCAGGGCCTGCAAGTGCTTACTATTTACCCAGTAAATATATTAAATTGCCAGGCAAGTCTCCCTCCTGTCCTGACACTGCCAGGGAACATTTGAAAGTCTGATATAAGATCATTTTTAGACTATCAAACATGCCTTTCTAATTCTATCATCTCTCTTTATGTTTCCAGGAATACAGCGTGTCTTGATCTCTGAGAGCCAATATATCTGGGTTACACCGAAAGAGGAATAATGAAACAATATTTACATTGTACATTGAAGATGACCTGAAAAGCTAGAAGAGGTGACTGGGGGCATTTTCTCAATGTGGATGAGGAAGAAGGAGGAAGGTGGAAGATGACAGAGTCTCTAAGTGCCTAGATTTGATTCCAGCACATGAACCAGATTTTATGTTCAAGGGCATCAAGTACAACCTCCAAGTTTCAGTCAGTGTTCTTCTCCATCTCTCAGTCTTAGTTCTTAGACCCAAACATGGTTGTGGACCATGGTCTTTGGCCCAAAGAGCAAAAAATACCAAACAGATTATGGTTTCAGTGGTACTATAAGAAGCAGTTTGTTTCATATGTGCTTGCATGCACTCATACATGTGCACATAAAATTCTGCCCTTTGTTTTGGCTGAGCTGCTCTGTTTAGCTCTCCAAATTCAATATAAGGGCCTTGATGTTCTTCTATGCTGCTGACATCCTTAAACCACAAGACAATTAATCTCTCTTACCTATTTCTTCATCTATAGAATGGGATCTGGAAAATTCACTGACTCCATATGTTTGCTTTGACCCAAGAGGATTATAATGATTCAGTGATTATTAGTTGGCACTATGGAAATATGGAAATATCAAATGCTGTAAAATGCTTGATTATTATTAATGGGTACAATTTTCCCCAATACCTCTCCATCTTAGTGCTGAGTGGAGCCTCTACTCACAAGGTTTCCATAGCAAAGAGGCCTTGGCCCAGGCCAAGATGTGTAGGAACAGTGACCTTCCTGGCTTTTCAAGGCCCAAGTGCACACTGTATCTCTCCCACATACCAGTCATGGTGGAATTCAGCTCTTCAACTCATGCTCTTCAAACCTGTTTTTCCTTAGCTATAAAAATGGAGACATTGCTACCTGTCTTACTTGTCTCCTAGGACTGTTATGTGGGTCACATTAGATAATGTTTGCAGAAGGGCTTTGAAAAGTATAAAGCAGAAGTCATTGTAAAGTTTAAAAATATTTTGCAAGATGAGATGACCTGTAAATGGAGCAGGGTCAAGTGGACTGAAAGGGTATCTTCATAGACAGACTGGATGAATGCCCTTCTGTGTGATTTGCTATGCCCTATGTCAAGGAGTATATCCTCATTGTCCCTAAAGTTCTATTATTAGTAATACATTCCTTTGGATTAAGCATTTCCCACTCTCTTCAAGTCTTAGTTTTAAAATACAAAATTTCTTGTGAGCACTAAGCTCCTGAAGTTTAATATAATTTAAATTATCAGACATATTCCTCCCTGACAGGTGAGATAGCACCATACAGGTGCACTGGGCTTTTAAGTAGGTCTGAGAAACAGGATGCTGGAAGCTTGGAGAAAATTACACATTTTAATCAAAGTCAACTCTCACAGTTGTGCCAGTTGCTGACAGAGGATACTCAGAGCCCATCCAGCAGTAGTCCTATAGCTCTACTCACACATGAGAACGGGAGGCTCTTTTCTCCCTGTCCTCACCCAAAGCCTCTGAAGTTGCCACTGCACAGGAAGCCAGGGGTTCTCATACTGTTGGATTATAGGGGCAAGCAAAGTTTTTTAAAAAGCTGTAGAATTGATATAAGTTGCCAACTTTTAATTTTACCAAACAATTACCACTTATTATCACCATCATTTCATAAATGAGAGGATGTTTTAACCACTAAAAAGTCAAAAGGATGTTATCTAAGACCAAAGGACAGCCCTTTGAAATAAAATATATGTAGCTTTATGAAAACTCCCTGCTTTGTTTTTATTTTTCCTATCTTCCTTTGATCTATTTCTTCTTTGGTATCCATGGGGTGGTGTAGACAGTGACAAGGAGCAGACAGAGAAATCAACGAGAGGTAAAAATTTAACTCAAGAATTGTTTGATTTCCCTAATCAAACTGACCACTTCTCATGCTATGCATCTTTGGGTCACCAGTTTCTTTGGTAAAGAGAGTAACGATTTCACCAGAATGGTTCCTGGTACAGGGAATATAATACTTTGAGTAATTCTCTTGGAATTACTTCCAGTCTGGGCAGATCAGTTTGTTTTCAGTTTGTTCAATCCTTGCACCACCCACCTGAACACTTCTGGTTTTACCTGGGGAAGTGGGATTGCTGACTGCCCCATGCCTAGTTCAGCCAGCTCACATGGGGCTAAATGATAGAGCTTAGCGTGGTTCCCAGAGAAGGGAAGGAGCCTGCCCTCCAACTGGTGTCCCAGGCAGAGCCAGTTTAACCAGCATCTTGTGCAAGATTTGGCCCATACGTTTTTTCCTGCTTCCAGTTTCCTCTGGCAGAAGTGGAAGCATTCTCCATGTTCTATTGTTGCATGTGAACTTAATGCAACCAGCACAACATATATATGTATTTTTTCCCCTCCAAAGCCCAATGTATGTAGAAGATGAGGCTATAATTTAATTACAAGTAACATAAGTATAATTAAGGCCCATGAGACTGAGTTTCTCTCTTATCAGTCACTCTCTGGTAGGTGCCTAGGGAAATAAATCATTATTATTCACTTATGCAGGTCACCAGAGCACTATTTACTACACTAGGAAGAATATTTAGTTCAATTATCCACTATGGATTAAAAAATTACAAGGTCATTATTTTAAAAAAAATATTGGACCTATTCAACTAAAATGGCATAATAATATACCCACATCATTGAATTGTGGTGAATATTAAATAACATAACAATAGCAGTAAAGCACTTTCCATAATTCTTGGGCAAGCACTCAATAAATATTAGCTATTATTATTTCCATTTATTCAAGAAGTATTTTTTTTTTAGCAGCTCTTATGTGCCAGATACTGTGTTAGAGGCTAGAGAGCCAATGGCAAGTAAAACAGGCTGGTGTGTCTGCCTTCTTGGAGTGGGAAGACAGACACCAAACAAATTCATTCAACCATCAACAGTGACTAGTACCAGGCAGCTCTAGGTGCTTGGGGGTACACCAGTGGACAAAACAAAGATGCCTCCTATTATGGATCTTATCTTTAAATATTAGCCCAGTTGCTTTCTAAATATATATATATATATATATATGATCACAAATGGTGTTAAGTGCTAATAATAATGAAAACCTAAGGTGGAATGAGGTCTTCTAAAAGGTTCCTAATTCAGCCTGGGTGCTCAGGGGAAGTACTTTATGAGGATGTGATCTTCTAAATTTGAGATATGGATAAAGAGTAGGCTGAATGGAGGAAAAGAGTGGGAGGTGGGGGAAGAGAACATGTGTATAATCCTAGCAGCTCATATTTAATTTCATGTTATGATGCCTTTTCACAAATGTTCTAGAGGCCAGATTGCCAAAGATAAGAGATGGTCAGTCCCTGCATCAGAAGTTTGCGATCAGATTGAATTTATCCCTCAGGTCCAGAATACATGGCAGCAGCTGCGTATAGTTTTCCACTTCTTAGGAATCAATGACAGTTGACAGTCACTGCCTCGGCTTCCCTTGGTTTCCATTGCCTGGAACAATCAGTACCAACTATGATCACAATGACCTCTCTGGGAACTGAGCTCGGCTTCTTTTACTTGCTGTAATGAAAATCACCCCAGTGCCCCCCAGGAATGTGTCAGCATACATTTAATGCTGGATTTAAATAACCAAGCGTGGGCTGAATAATCACTCTCTGAGAGTTGAGCCACCCCTCCTCCCCAACACACACATAATCCTTTAGCCCACTTTTCCTTTTGCTACTGAGTTTTCTCTCATTTAAGTTTTAATGCTCTTCTTATGCCATTTCCATTAGCAAGCTTTCACAGCCTGGTTCATATTCCAGCTATGACATAGTTCACATAGTTCTGTGTAGACATAATATTTACAGGAACTGAAGATGGGTGGATTCTGATAGTGGCTTGTGGAACAGTCTCCACTTCAGTCAAAATAACAAAGAACTCAAGAAACACATGCCTTGGGAGTTTAGTCCCCCCTAAACTTCCCAAATGTACTTGTTTGAACCGTGTGTAAAGATCAGCAGATCAGGGGAGTGGTGCTTTGGGTGAGAACGCTTGGTTAGCCCAGTGTTCCGCTGTTTTACAGCACAAATTCTAAGCTGAACTCTGTTTATTGTCAATAGCTGTCTAACAAAGGACAAAATGGAATGTGCCTGTTTTCAAATTCCTGTAAAAGAACGGATCTGGAAGACCTCAGAGACCTAGGGTGATTTTCTTCACTATTTTTTAGTACTTGCATTTAAGACTCTAAGCTATTGAGAGAGGTCTTACCAACCATAAATATTAGTGTGGAGTGATCTATAAGAAGTATTGTGATTACCTGCGAATAAAATACAGTTGTCTATACCCTGTTTGAAGTATAGAGGGAGGAAACTGAGCTGGAGAAGCTGGGAAATTTCTAAATTTGGTAGCACTGATCCAGAAGTTGGTATTTAAGGCCTGAGGAGGAAGGAGATGGCTGTTGGTAAGTCTGACAGTAGGGTTTGAGGTGCACCTTGCAGGGACAGCTGGGTTCAGAGGTGTGGGAGGTCTGCATTTAGGTTCCTCAATACTGAACCTAACATCAGGAAACATTTCCTCTGCACAGAGTGCCCTGCTCCCTGTTCTTCCATGGGCTAGTTCCTTCTTACCATTCACTGCTCATGGGAAATGTCACCTCCTCCCACCCAATCCAAGGTAGCAACACAATTGCTTGCAACGTATCTTTCCATTTTAATTACCTGCCATGCACTGACTTTTATATGACATTTTTGTTTGTTTTCTTGTTTTTTCATTACTAGACTATAAGCTTCATGGTGGGAGGAAGCTTATCTGCCTACTGCAGTGACTGGCACATGGTAGGTGCTTAACAAAAGTGATGAATGAAGAATAAAGAATAGGATAATAGACTCTCTATGATTTGAGTTAAGAAATGATTAACTTTGCAGAGGCCATACCCCAGTACTTGTAGGTAGTAGTTGTTTTCTGGCTCTTATACAAGGTAATAATATTTTGAGGTATGTGAAACCCATTTGTTCCCTGGAGGGAATTCTGAACCCAGTGGAAAAATAGAAAACAGGCTAGAGAAATCTGATAAGGATACAACTAAATTCATCTCAAACCAGATGTGTGATGGAAACACCTCAGGGCTGCTCCTATCTAAACATACAATCTAAAACCACTTAATTTGAAATCTTTCAGCTTTTTCTATTATTCTCTGGTCATTTTACCATATGGGGGAGAAATGTAAAAATTATTACTGTGGCTTGGAGCTGTCGTTCTGTGGGCCTGTTGATTTGGCAGGCCAAAGAGTAGAGTGCTCAACCAAAAATACTAGGTTTTTTTTCCATTTCCCCAACCTATTTCACAACCTCTTGCTTCCGTCTTTTCCAAGTTCTAAACTCAGACAGATATCAGCTGGAAGAAGCCCTGGGTTCAAATAAACTTGACTTGGATGTCAATGTACCATCAGCAAATGAACTCCCAAATCCCCACCTGCTGTGAAGTTTCCTATTCATGGCAAGCAGAGTCCAGGTGAAGGCAAAGATTCTTCTCCCACAGACACCCTCTGGGCAGGTAACTCATGATTTATTCTAAGCCACCTGATGAATCTGGAAAAAGGAATAGAATGATTCTGCCAAACAATTCAAATGAAGAATCCTGAGGCCCCATCTCATCCTTCCGTGCTAACCAATCTGAAACAGGCAGGAGCGTGTGTAGTGTTCTTGTTTATAGCTGCTGAGATCAGCTCCTGTCATAGGAGCTGCATCCAGGCCTCAGGTGAGCCTGTGGTGTTACTGAAAGTTTGGCACTTGTCCCTGACCAAGGACAAGTGGTTTGAGGAGTTGGAAAGAGGAGTTTATTAATTTGCCAGCAAACAAAAAGGTTGGCAGACTCCTGTCTCAAAGCACCAATGTCCTGCCTCTGAGCAGAAGTACAGAGTTTTTAAAGCTTCTGATTAATCCCATAATCCCATTTTTTGGCTAAGACAATCTCTTGACCTCTGCCCAGGCAATTCCCCTGAGACAGCTCCCATGGCACAAGGAACAAAGGACACTCTCCTGCCCTTTCTGACCACTGGCATGAGGTAGGGATGTAGGTTTTAGTTTTCAAAAATAGCAAGGGGGTTTTGAAGACTCAGAAAACATTTTTACTCTCTTTCAGGCTGTCTCCCCTGTTATAGTGGTGTGTGATAATCCAGTCCTCTCTGGTCTGTGCAATTCAACTAATCAACAAATACACAGACCTGGCCCCAGCCGTGGGCCCAGTCAATGCTGAGTTGCTCAAGAAGCCAAGTATGTTCTGGAGCAAGAGAGGGGGGCATTCAAGAAATAAATAGGAAACCTGTACTCATTATTATGTTTATTGAGTGCTTAATACTATGTCAGGCACTGGGGAAACAGTAATTTTTCCCTCCCTAATAGAACTTACATCCTGGCATTATTTCAGCATACTTGTGGCTTTACTTTTTTAAATAAAATTTTACTTTACAATTCAGTGTTGTTTTTGTTTTGAATTACTTGGAGGGATATCAAAAACATTTTGGTATTGGGCCCATAAATGTTTTATTATGGCCCCATGGCCAGCACTTTTAAACTAAAAAATTGGTTAGATTTTTGCCTTTATGCCCAAATATTTTCTAAACCATCACTTGTAGAAGTGGGCTGAATTTGTGGGAAAGAAAGGATCTGGAGTGTAACCAACCACAGGCAAAATTTCTCATTGTGCTCATCACTGTTTCTGGGTGGGGGGGTGGTGGCTTTAAAACTAAGGTACCCATACCCTCTGGTGTGGCAGGTGGTAGAAACATTTAGACAGCAAGTATGATGGATCTTTGCAGTTCTAGGATGGGTGTACCCCTTGGGTTTGTGAACATCTAAATTATTGTGCCTGGTAAGAAAAATGCTGACTAGGATTGTGGTCCCTCTCACTCCAAGGAGGGTACGTGTAATAAGTCACCCATCAAGGCCCTTTGTCCAGAAAGGGAATCCGTGCTGCCTTCTCAGCCACAAGGACAATGGCTGCTGAGCCTTCTGTTTGATGTTCATTCATTCTATAAACACTCACTGAGGGCCTAGTCCTGTCGGGAAGCGAGGCACTGAGGATGGATACCTCCCAGATAAGACAGATAAGGTCTCTGCTCCCCTGGAGCTTATGGCCTCACAGAGGCAGACAGACAATGAACTCATACATAAATTAAACAGACAGGGTAACGTGGTGATACGTGCTAGATAGAAAAGAAAATCAGGTAATGTGACAGAAAGTGAAGTGCAAGGAGTGAGGGTGCGACATTGGACAGGGGGCAGGACAGGCTTCCTGGAGGTGACATCTGAGCAGATTTTTTATTTATTTATTTATTTATTTATTTTGACACAGAGTCTCACCCTGTTGCCTGGGCTAGAGTGCTGTGGCATCAGCTTAACTCACAACAGCTTCACGCTCCTGGGCTCAAGTGATCCCCCTGCCTCAGCCTCCTTAGTAGATGGGACTACAGATGCGAACCACCACGCCCAACTAATTTTTATATTTTTAGTAGAGACGGAGTCTCATTCTCACTCAGGCTGGTCTTGAACTCCCGAGCTCAAGCAATTCTCCCGCCTCGGCCCCCGAGAGTGCTAGGATTACAAGCGTGAGCCACCATGCCCGGCCCTAACCAGATGTTGATCATGAAGTAGCGTCAATGTGTCAAGATCTAGGGTGAAGAAGGAACAGTGGGTCCCAAGGCCCAGCAGCAGAACCAGCCTGACATATCTGAGCGAAGAAAGAGGGCCACTGTGGCCAGAGTAGGGTGAGGGAACATGGTTCAGGATAAGGTTGGAGGGCTAGGCAGGGGTGGAATCCCACAGACTGGGAAGACCCTGGCAAGGAATGTAGATTTTTTTCTAAATGTCATTCTGTAAATTGGTGTCTAAATAAGTTTGGGGGGATAACAGGCCTGTATAGTATTACAATTTAATTCAGAGTCCCCTTAAGGTGTTTTAAAAAAACAATTTTAAAATTTTTTCTTCATTCCCACAAACTTAAGTTTAGAGCCCCCAAGTTTTGAGAGTAGACTCTGCCAATGTATGATCTGTCCTTGTCCTAAATGATTACCTCCTAATCTTGGGTGGGCCAGAGTCTGAAAAGGGACTTCTTCAGAACAGTCATTTTGGCAATTTCCCCAGTGATCATTAATACTCCAGGTGAAACTTCAGTAGAGAAAATCGGACCTCAACTGGGAGTTGCAACTGGTAGTTTTCTTATAGGACACAATAAAGAACTAAACTAAGACAGAAAGTTGTCACATCTGAGGAGGGAGCTGTGATCCACAGATCAGAAGGCAGTATAACTCTGAATTTCTATATACTGGTCAGAATTTTCCTGGGTCAAGAAAGGGAATTCTTTTTTTTTGGCATTACAACAAGCAATGTCTCCTTTAAATATCTGTCACGTTGAGTAAGGTCGGGGATGAGATGGTGTAAACCCTGCTGAAGATGTCTTAACAACTTGAAGCACGTCATGTGCCAGGCCATTCCAGCCACCCCTGGCCCTGCCCATGCCGATTATGAGATTTTCTCATTGGATGGGAGCCCTGCAGGTGAGGTTCCTTAGTCAGGGTGTGTTGATATCAGGGCATTCAGTGACGTACATGGGGTTCCTTTGGAATTGCAGCAGCTAAGTCCACCAAAGCCACAGAAGGTCAGCTCAGGACATCTGAAGAGCTGACAGCCTGGAGAAGCCTTGCTCGTCTGCCGGTGGGGAGCTCTTGTTTCTGCAGCAAGGCTCGGCAGGGTTGACAGAACCAGCGTCCCATACTGCAGGTGGCCGTGAAAGATGCTGCGGGCTTGGGCTGAAGTGTGTCTGTCTTTGGCACCGTAGCTGTTCCCCAGTTTCCTCAGCTCCAGATGGAGTGCGTCCCAGGGACCACACAGAGCTTTGTTTAAATGCTCACATTAGCAGAAGGACGGGGATCCCATTGAATCATCATCTCCTGTCAAGAAGCCAAGAGTTGTTCAGAATGAAAACACAGTTTTTCCCAAAGAGGCTAAATCCCTAGTACTAATTAGTCGCACTGGTAGCGTGTGTAGGGGCCAGTGGTGGTAGCAATCCCGTGCCTCTACTGTTCTAAATAGCAGCAATCTTTTTGCTCACAGTCTGAGCCACAGAGTGAGCAAGCTTGACCCCTAAGACCCCTCATCAGACTCACGTGTGTGTGAGTCCTGCAGAAATTGTGGAATGTTTCTCCCCCTTGTTGGATCCAGACATTTAGAATGAATAAATTAAAGGGTGGTGGTAACATGGTCATTGTCATTGCAGACAATGTGGCATTTATGTATGGGCACTAGCTGTCTTTCTCATGGGATCAGTAACAAGGGTAAGTTTGATCTTTCAACATGAACCACTGGGGTGTTCTTTATACACAGAGGCTGCACCAGCTGAAAATAGCCCAAACATCTTGTTATTTTGTCTTTCCCAATTTTTGCCTATTCATACTCCAGAATAAAAGACTGCCTGTTCAGCCTTTCCAAAGATTTGAAGAACATTATCTATTTGCTTTCCAAGTACCCATAAAGGACAGCTATCTATGCTCATTTTAACCGGGTGAGGGCATTCATCTATTTATCTATTCAATAGATACTTATTAAATGCCTACTATGTGCCAGGCACTGTGCTAGCTGCTACGTGAATATTGCTACATGAAAAAGACAGAGGCCAAGAATTGCCAAACAAGTCTAAGTTGATTTTGGTATACACATCTTCCTGACTTCTGGTCCCGTGCTCTGACCACAACCCTTCACCACTAGACCACACTTCCCCAAATAAATAACTACTTCTGCATGCTGGGTATGGGCTGTGTGCGGCAGCATTTACGTAGGCGGCACAGGCAGCAGCCTTTCACTTAATGTTGCAATAACACCAGGCTAAACAATGTGCACTGACTTCAAAAGTTATCGAACAGCTTGATGTGGGTCAGGTCTCTTCATTCAAGTGCCATGGGGAAAGTGCGAAATAGGAAAAGTCTGCATCTGATAAGGGAACACTGCAGAAGATGGATGAATTTGTTTTCAATTTGGATTCAAATCAGATGTGGGATTTTACCCTCCTTTTCACTTTTGGATCCCCAGATAGGAGGAACTTAGCACATAGAGAATCAGAAGTACACAAGTTTTGGTTTTATATGCTCAGACTTGTCCAGAACACAGAATCCCTGCCCTGCTGGAAGGCAGCAGCACCATGCTCACAGACAGACACACACCCCTGTCTCAAAGTCACCCTGACCTTTGCAAGTGGCAAAGATAATTTCATAGGTTGGTTCTGATTTGGCTTTATTTTTAGGCTATCTTGGGTGAGCTCCACTTTTTAAAATGTGATTTTGCAGTCCCGAAATGGATACCCGGAGTAGATTGAGATGTGAGAATATGTTAGAATAATCCTGTGAGTATTTTGGGTGTTAGCGGGGCAGGAGAGGGAGTCTGAGACGCAATCATCCCATACTACCACTTTTGGTTGAGTGCCTGCTAGCCGACTTCTGACCCTTTTCAATCTCTGTCATTTCATTACCTGTGAGAACAGAGGATCCAGGCCCCACGTCTGTACTGCAGTCACTTCCTCTGGGACCTGTCCCCAAACCCTCCTCTGCATTTTGTAGCACCTTGTTCTTACATCTTCAAACCACTTACCGCTGCCCTGCAATCCTATATTGGCTTGTTGGTCTTTCCCTTGAGGCTGGAATCTCTCTGAGGGTCGGGACAGGTCCATCCTGTTTATTAGAGTAAGCACCAGTCCCCAGCCCAGTGCCAGGCCATATGTGTCTCTCAATGGTTGCTTACAACGAAAAGAATAAATGAATTCATGGTCCCTCCTTTTCAGGATGGATTTATCGTCTCCAACTCTCTGGTCATAAATGGTGCCAGGAAGGAAAGAGTTAAGTTATCTAGAGGAAACAGGCTCACTCAAAGACCCTTTTCCTTTTTTATGGGCAAAGACAGGATAAGTGATATATGAGATAAATCCCGGGTATAAAATCTTGACACATCTTTTAGTTATTGGCCTGAGCTGCTTCAGACCTGAAGGGGAAGTAAATCAAATCATTCTAGGTTTTCCCTTAAGTGGCCCAGCGATCCAGCTGTGAATGGAAGGCAAGTCTAGACCCAGGAATTCAAAGCTTGACCTACTTTGTCCAAAGCTAATAATAAGAGGAGAGATGCATTTGCCTTCATAACCTTTCTTCCCTCTCCCTCTCTCTTTCATCAAGGATAGTGAAGGGACAAATGACAGAATTAGGAGAACTGAAGGCCTCAGAATTGCTTTTAGGATTCAGAGCAGCTCCAAGAAGTCTGTGTTTATGTATTATGTGTGTTTTTCCTTTTCTCCTCCCCCCACCCCGCTTTTTTTTTTTTTTTTTTTGTAGAGTTGGGGTCTCACAATGTTGCCTAGGCTAAACCAATGACATACAATGATGAAATTCTGTTTTCACCTCTGTCTATGACAGGGAATGTAAAAATAGCAAATGCCCCAGTTCCACGATTCCCGGCCTCCCTGCCCTCCCTGCTCCCGCCGGGCTGGGATCTCTAAGAATGGAGGTTAGCTCACAGCCCCGCGCGCGCCGCGCTCGGCCCCCGACCGGCGGATGATGTCAGGCGACGGGAGCGGCCGCAGGCGGGCCGGGGAGGCCGCGGCCCCCGGGGAGCGGGGAGGGCGGCCCGGCCAGGCCGACGGCGCGCCCGGCCGTGCGGCGTCGCCTGACAACGGCCCTGGCGGCGCTGTGTTGCTGTAAACAGCCGCTTCCCTGTTACTATCTATAGCAGGATCGCCTGGCTCCCGGGTGCGGCGGCTGGAGGCAGGTCTGCGGTCCCGCTCCCCGCGTGCCCCGAACGATCCGCCCACTCCTCTGATCCCGCCTTGCCCCTCCCCAGGTGCCCACCGCGGGCCCAGACCCCCGGCCGAGGAGTGGGGGAGGGGATGCGGGGGCTCCGCGTGGACCTGCGGCTTCGCGCCCCAGAGGCGGCCCGCGCGCTGGGGCCGAGCCCGGGTACCTTGACCCCGGCTGTCCTTTGCAGCAGGGCAGGAGGCTGGGGGCGTCTGGGGGCGTGGCGCACTCACCTTGCCACCCCAAAGCCCGGTTTTCCAGGACGCGGAGCAGCGCCTGGGGTCCCAGCGGCCGAGGTAACCCGCCTGGGCGCTGCGGCACACTGTCCTTCCAGCACCCCCCCACCTCCCGGTCCTCCCCGCTCCAAGTCCCCGCTGGAAAATCACCCGCAGCGGGCTCCCTGTAAGCCCAGCTTCCTGGCGGGACCAAACCAGCCCCCCAACACCGACTTAGGTTCCCCCAAGAA